GGAGGGAGAGGTGTGTTCATGTATACAAGTGTATGTGAGGCCAGAGGACAACCTTGACAACCTTAGGTATTATTCCTCAGGCATTGTCTACTTTTTTTTTAAATTTTTTTTAAGACCAAGTCTCTCATTGGTCTGGAACCCTCTAAGTAAGCTGAGTTGACTGGCCAGCAAGTCAAGTCCCAGGGTGTCATCCTATCTCTGACTCCCCAGCACTGGGAGTACAAGCTTGTACCATTTTAACCCCCCCTCTGTCTGTCTGTCTCTCTCCACATTGGTGCTGGAGATGGAACTCAGGCCCTCCCTCATGCTTTCAAGGCAAACACTTTACTAACTGACCCGTCTGCCCAGCTTCACTATTCTTGGTTTATGGGTTCAAAGACAGAGGCATCTAAACATACATTACTTTCTTAAGAACAGACGGGCTAATTGACAGCAGCAGGCTTGACCACATCACTTGAAGTGAAGGACCCCGGGGTTTAACTGAGTACATCTCTGTGCGTCAATCACCTGCCCTCAAACAGGCTCTGAGGCAATTGGCTCCCTTTCTCAACACATGTGAGCAGCTGATCTTTTAAGTGATTTTTGTCTTCTTTTACATGATTATTGCATCTGTCATCTAACTGTGTCCTTTGGTTGGTGCAAAAGTCCAAAGAACAGAATGTGGCTTAAGAGTCACACTCTTGTCAGGTGGTGGGTGCATGTCTTTAATCCCAGCACTCGGGAGGCAGAGGCAGGTGGATCTCTGTGAGTTTGAGGCCAGCCTAGTCCACAGAGCAAGTTCTAGGACAGCCAGGACTTCCCAGAGAAATTCTGTCTTGAAAAATCTCCCTTCCCCACAGAAAAGAGTCATGCTCTTAGCTGTGTGGCAACTGCAGATCATGGGGTTAAACTGCATGTTCTTCTTTTTATGATTTCTGTGGATGCTGGAGGTTGGTCAACCAGTAGGCATGTTAGCAGATAGAGGCTAAGATATGGATTCTGGAACTAATACTTCCTGTGCTCAAATCCCAGCTCTAGCTCTACTAAGATTGCTTAAAAATATTCTAGTCCCAATGTGCCCTAGTCCTTACTTACAATCCGCACTCCCTCCTTCTGTAGGTGAAGACAGTTATATGGAGGTTCAGGAAGAGGATGATGAAAGTCCATCCACCAGCAAAGGTCTATCCTAGCACAGCAGACCATGAGCTAGTGACTTAAGCCTCCTTTAAAAATGAGTGGTCTTGTGTTAAACTTAGGTACAGGGGTATATTGTGGTCTCAAGTGCTCTTATTAAAAGCTTTAAGTATGGAGAGAGGTAGGATTCTCACAGGGGTTCAGAGCTAAGAAGCTGTCCTCGCACAGTGGTGCATGTCTGTCCAGAAGGAGAAAAGAGACTTTGGCCAGGAAAAGGAGTCAGTTGAAAAATATTGACAAACATTTGGAAAATCCATGTTTGGTTGGTGGGTATTGCAGAAGGATAGAAATCATCAGAACCAGGATACACACATGGTGAAAGGTTTCTGTACCCTGATATTGTGTTTTTCTGCTGATGCAATAAATCAGATCAGGCCAAAATAAGAGTCAAGGTTTAATGAGCAAAGCATCCCTGGGTAACTCTCGGGGGAAGAAAACTGGAGAGGAATTACCTGGCAGGTCTAAGGGCTGGGTTTTAAATACTCTGTAGGCCTGGTCTTGAGTATCTCTTGGGGAGGAGCTGACTCTTGGGGGGCTTTCTGATGGGTGGGGTCTGGAATGGGAGGAGTGGGCTGGAGATTCCCAATACACAGAAAGGTAAACCAGGAGACACAGGTGATCAACCAGGGGACCCAGGAAGATAAGCCAGGAGTTCCTCCTGGAAAGTTGTGGGCATGTCCTGGGAGCTTTGGGAAGAAGAAAATAGGCATGAAGCCTTCCCTGGATTTTGCTGAAGCATCCACAGGCTATTGTAGTGCTGTGGTTTCTCTTTCTAAGTCTGAAGAGTTGAGATGCTATGGATGCACACTAGACAGCTTGCATTTAAAGTGTGCAATCGGGTAGCTTTAGACATGCTCACATTCCCATGGCACTGGCACTACAACCAACCTGCTCAGAAGATTCCCCTTGGAATCCCTTTCCCTTGCTCCTCCTCATCCTGAACTAGTCTGCCTGAGCAGCCATCACATAGTATCCCAGGGTGGCTCAAGCAGCAGACATTTCTGTCTTTCAGTTCTGGAGGCTGAAGTCTGAAGTCAGGATGCTGGTAGGGTCAGGGGCTGGTGAGGGCTGTCTTCCAGGTTGCAGACACTACCTTCTTAATGTGTTCTTGTATTCTGGATGGACACACACACACACACACACACACACACACACACACACACACACACGAGAGAGAGAGAGAGAGAGAGAGAGAGAGAGAGAGAGAGAGAGAGAGAGAGAGAGAAACAGAGACAGACAGGCAGAGAGACAGAGAAACAGAAACAGAACGTAAGTGAAACTACTGATGTCTCTTTTTAAAGGGACACTGATCACACCATGAGGGCTCCATCCTTATGACTTAATCATGTTCCAAAGTCCCTGTCTCCAAATAAAGTCTGTTTTGGGATGATCCTTCTGTACGCTGTGAATATGTATTGCTGTCATTGCTTAATAATAAAACTGTTTGACCAATGCAAGGCAGGATAACGTTAGGTGGAACAATCAAACTGAGGGCTCAGATGAAAAGGGGTGGAGTCAGGAGAGATGTAGGTGGGCCGCCCAAGAAGCAAGATGCCAGAGGACTGGTAAAGCCATGGCCACATGGCAATACATAGATGAATAGAAATGGGTTAACTTAAATGTTAGAGCTAGTTAGTAATAAGCCTGAGCTATTAGCCAATCATTCATAATTGATATAGCCTCTGTGTGGTAATTTGGGAAGTGGCTGCTGTGTATTTGGGAACAGGTAGCCAGGGCAGAAAAGCTCTGGCACCGTTTGCATATGGTGCCCAATGTGGGGTTCATACATCCACATAAAACCTGAGAAAGCTTAAAAAAAGGTTCTAGACACAAAAATGGAGCCAAGAGCAGCTTCATAGTTCATATCTCTCATGTGGGCGCAGTACAGAATAATCCTATTAGGGTCTAGAGCTTCAGTTGAAGACTTTATTTTTATTTTTAATTATGAGCATGAGTGTGTCAATGTGTATGTATATGAGCATGTGAGTGCCATGCCCACAGAGGTCAGAAGAGGGCATCAGAGTCCCTGGAGCTGTAATTACAGGTGATTGTGAACTATCTGACATATGTGCTGGGAACCAAACTCAGATTCTCTAAGAACACTATGTGTTCTTAACTGCTGAGCTATCTCTCCAGGACTCTTCCATCTTGCATATGACCCTTGATATGTGTCTCTCATTATATAGATTGGTTTGCATTTTTTTTTTAGAATTTTACATAAATGCAGTCATAAGAAAGAGCACACACTCAATTTTGTTTGGCTCTTTCACCCGCTGTAATTACTTTGAGACCCTCCTGTAGCTGTACATATTAAGTTCATAGATTTAGTGGCTGAGTTGTATTCTTCTGTATGGATGCATCACTTTAGCCATTCATCAAGTGGATCTTCTTTGGCCAGGGGAATCCTTCATAATACTAGAGGCCATGTTCCAGGTCCTGCTTTCTCAGGTATTCCTTAGTGCTATGAGACATGGATGTTTCCATCCTTTCTCAATGCCATTTTTCCCATCTAGAATGTACCTAGGTCAGTTTCCTGGAACAAACCAAGTGGCTTAAGACTACAGAAGTTTGTTCTTTCATGGTTCTGGAGGCCACAAGTCACAGACTTAGGAGGACTGCATCTTCCAAAGTCTCTTCTCAAACAGAGTTTAACCTCACCTCTCCCATTTTCTGGTGGCTGTAGATGTCCCGGGCTTCTCCCAGCAGACCACAGCAGACCCCTGCGCTGTGTCTTCCCACGGCTTCCCCTTCTGTGCCTCTGTGTCCAGTCCTTTGCTTTCTTATAAAAATACCCATGAGTGGACTTAGGGCCCATTTCACTTTGTTTATTCATTATTTTTGTTGTTATTATTTGTGTGTGTACATGTATGTGTGGTATGTGTGCATGTGCATGGTCACATGAATGTGTGTATCTGTGCATGTGCATGAGGAGTTTGATGTTAGGGTTCTCCTTTGAGTATTCTACCTTATTTTTATTTATTTATTTATTTATTTTGAGACAGGGTCTTTTATTGAGCCTGGAGCTCAGCAGCTACCCTAGGCTGGCTAGACAATGAGTTCTAGGGATCTGGCTGTCCCTGCTTCTCCAGTGCTGAAGGATAGACTCACACCACTTGGATTTTACATGTGTGCTGGGATCTGAATTCAGGTTCCCATGCTTGTGTGACAAGCACTTTGTCAACTGAGCCACCTCTCTAGCTCCTTCAGTCTCATGCTAGTCTTGAACATGCTTACCTGGTGGTCATTTCCTCTTAATCATACCTTCAGAGCCCATTATTCCAGTCACGTAACTCACACTTTCTTGTCTCCTTTGAGTGTCCTTTCTAAAGTTCCCTCCTTGCCTGCGACCTGGCCCAGCTCAAGGCTCCATGTACTAAGCTAACTGTGATGTAGGCAGGGCAATGAACATGTGTTCCACCACAGACTAAGATATTTCTCGTGCTCATTACAGAAATGCTCAGGCATATGTTGCTCCTTGCTGCAACTAGCATTGAGTCTAATTTGTTGGATATTGCCAAGGTGGGCTGAAGTGTGAGCCCCATCCAAGCCCCCAAAGTGATACCATAGGTGGCCGCTAAAGCTGAAGGGCATGAGCTGGTGAGTAGATGCTGGTCGATCCTAAATCAATCAGATTCCTTTTAGAAATGAATACACCTGAGCAACGGGAGTGACCTAGAATGTGAACTCACCAGGATTCAGCAGGACCTGGCATACCTTTGCCTGGCTTGATCACTGCTGACATCAGTCCCTGGTGTACAGTCAGGTGCTTTATTGGATGAATGAATGACAATGTCAAACCTAATTTTTTTCTCCCCTTATTCCCACAGCTAAGGTCCCAGTACAAATGATGGCAGCCTACTGCTCCACGAAGGCAGCTTTGACCATGTTTTCATCAATCATCAGACAAGAGGTCTCCAGATGGGGAGTCAAAGTTGTTACCATCCAACCTGGAGGTTTCAAAACAAGTAGGTACCTGAGCCCAAGAGCTCTGTAGTGGTCCCCTGGAAAGGGACCCTGACATTCCTCTTGGTCAGTTATGACATGCATTGAACCCTCCAGGGTTGTCAGAGATGAGCACAGCCAGGGATTAGTCATGACAACTTATTTTATTCAGTAAGAGCTAAGTCCTAAGCTGACTGTGTAGATGTCATTTGGGTGTTTCAAGTATTTTATTTTTAATTTATTTTTATTTATGTGTGTGAATGTGTGTCTGCTTGTGTGTGCATGCACATGTGTGCAGGTGCCTGGGGAGGCCAGAAGAGGATGTTGGGTCCCCTGGAGCTGAAGTTACAGGCAGTTGTGAACCACCCTATGTGAAAGCTGAAAACTGAACTCTGACCCTGGGCAGTAGCAGCAAGCACTCTTAACTGCTGAGCCATCTCTCCAACCCTGCCTTGGATGGTTAAATGGAGCTAAGGGAGCAGAGAGAGCAAGGCTCAGCCGAGCCAGACAAATACAAAAGGACAAAGGCTTGCTCAGTGTAAAGGGGATGATGTTAGGTCTCCATCCCTCCACAGAAGCTGGGAGATAGGACTCATCCTTCTAGAGGATTCCTCAAAGGGGCAAGCTCCCAGGGCCTTGAGTTGCAGGGGACACACATACACACACAATTGAACAACCTTTTGAGTAAATGCTCCAACTAAGAGAAGCCAAGAGCCACCATCAGGGGTCTGTTTGATAGGACAATAGTGAGTTCTCCTGGCAGCAGTGAGCCTTGTCACAAAGGTATTTGGGAGGGCTCGTGTCTTTCTAAAATAGGGCCTGGTACTGCTAATGTTGGGCTGGAGTATGGTCAGCCTCTTAGTGCAGGAGTTTGGAGAGAGTTACTACATGCTCAGTGGGAAGGTGAGCTCATCTAACCTTTGAGAGGCAAATGCCTTCTGTGGGTGATTCCTTTCTGGGCTTCCTTCCTGGAAGTGGATGAAAGGGTTCAGAAGCTGTAAGCAAGCAGAGGCCGTGCTGGGTACAAAACTAGCTCCCCTGATGCCCACTCAGAACATCAACTTCCCCATGTCCCCCTCCTCCATGCCCTATTTATTTGCTCTGTGAGAGCACGGCTCAGAAATGACCCCAATGGACTCTTCCTGATTTTCCTGAGCCACCTAAACCCCACTTCCAACATGGTGTCCATCAGCTTCTTGCTGGGTTTTATTCATTTAGACTTAGAGATTGCTCACAAACAAACTGAACGGATGTGCTGGGTAACACCAGAACCCTTCCCTCCCTACAAGAGGGCTTTCTTCTTTATGTTTTGAAAGCAGCATTTCTCTCCTCTCCTTTAGAGAACAGGACCACTTCCTTCCATCCTGGGAGATGTTGTCTTTGCCCATCCTCTCCTTGAATTTCTGAACTCTGGGAGGAGACAGACGGTTCATCCCTTTTTTTTTCCTGGACCATAAAACGTTTAATTGGTCATGTTAGTGAGGGTGTGAGAAGGAAGTCTAATAAAGCTCACAAACTGGAAGGTATTGCTAACCACTGAAGAATAAACCCTAAAGGTGTCAGTGTCAGGCCAAATGCACGAGATAAAATCTAAAGAAAAACTGAACCTTTGACCAGAAGCACTTGACAGATGGGATCCTCACCGGGCTGTGGAGGAGGCTCAGGAACCATTAAAGAACATAAAAAGGAACATTAGCCGTATATGCTGAGAAGGGGGATCAGGGTAATAGAGATGGGAGAGAAGATGACGTCTGTGGATGGGTTTCTACTCCAAACTCCCCAGCAGGGAGGAGAATTGGGGGAAGTTGATTGAGAAGAAGGAGAAAATCTGGACTGGAAGGGAAAGAAGGGGATTCTAGAGGGCAAAGCCAGCTGGGAGCTGGTGGACCAAGAAGATGCTGCACCGCACTTTTATTTTGTACATTTCTTTATTTTTATTTTTTTGTGCATGTATGTATGTGTGGGTGCCCACACGTTATGGCATGTGCATGGAGATCAGAGGACAACTTTTGGGAACTGGTTTTCTCCTCCCACCATGTGATTCCTGGAGATCAAACTCAGGTTGTCAGACTTGGTGCCCAGTGTCATTTCCTACTGAGCCAACTCGCTGTTCCTAAACTGGACTTTGACACCTGGCAGTAGGATCAAGGATTAGGTTAGGCTCATGAGCCAAAGGAAAATTCCAGCATATCCACATAAGGCTCCCTTTGGAAAAGGGAGCAAGCTGGTGTTAAGTTACACTTTAAGGGACTCAGGGAGGTCTTGCTGCTGACATTTCTGGGGATGTGCTCTTAGCAGGCACATCACCACCTGCTCCCACACATGCTTGGGGTAGTTGATCTTACTGTTTCCATGAAGAACTATATCATAGACATAGGGAAAGGTATGACACTCACCGTTTAACAACTTAACACAAGCACTCACGTACTAAGATCAACAATGAAACCAGCACCCAGAAGCCCCTTTACAAGCCTTTCCATCCAATCCTCTCCCTATTCCAAAAGGTACCCACCTCCTCATCTTACAATGGGTGGTGGTGAAGGATTGTTACACAGAGAAACACTGTCTCAAAAAACCAAAACCAAAAAAACAAAACAAAAAAAGCTTTAAAATGTAATGGTTCTATTGGGAACTTCTAGTTCTTTATTATCTACAGGGCAGACTTTGTGGTGGTATTGTGTTCCCTGAAATATTGTGCACCCTAATAAACTTATCTGGGGTCAGAAACAGAACAGCCACTAGATACAAAGGCTAGAAAATGGTGGCACTCACGCCTTTAATCCTAGCACTCCAGAGGTAGAAATCCCTCTGGATCTCTGTGAGTTCAAGGTCACATTGGAAACGGTCAGGCATGGTGGTAACACACGCCTTTAATCCCAGAAAGCGAGCCTTTAATCCCAGGGAGTGGTAGTAGAAAGCAGAAAGGTATGTAAGGCGTGAGGACCAGAAACTAGAAGCATTTGGCTGGTTAAGCTTTCGGGCTTCTAGCAGCACAGTTCAGCTGAGACCCATTCTGGATGAGGACACAGAGGCTTCCGGTCTGAGGAAACAAGACCAGCTGAGAAGTTGACCAGGTGAGGTTAGCTGTGGCTTGTTCTGGTTCTCTGATCTTCCAGTTCACCCCAATACCTGGCTCAGATTTGATTTTATTAATAAGAACTTTTAAGATTTTAAGATTAATTGACGTTCTCCAGGTGAGGATGCCCCAAGGCAAGGTGGGTAATATGTCCTAGTGCAGGCTCCTGGTACAACAGTGATGATGAGGAGTTTGAGGACAGATCTCCAGTGCCTCTGTCTGGTCTTGTCTTTCGTACCAGGCTGTCAGCTGGCAGACAGAGGGCAGGCTAGAGAACAACGCCCTGTGCTTTCATCTAACTGAAGGTGGAGGCAAGGAAGGACCTTACAAAAAAATCAGTGTCGAGCTTCGAAAAAACGGACGAGGACACAGATCTTGTTTTTCCCAATTGTCCTACAATAAAAATAGCCAAGGTGTTTCATGCCTAGCACACATCAAACATGCTAGCTTCCTGCACTGTTTCGCTCAGTTCTCATCTACGAAGGAGGCAACAGAATATTTCCATATTTTTTTTTTTTTTTTGGTAATGAGAAAAATCAATGTTCAAGTTAAGGACTTTCCCAGCCACCGAGCAGATACGAAACAAAGGTGGGATTTTGATTCAGGTTAGATTGACAGGTTATGTGTTACTCCAAAGTGCCAGGGGATGGGTGGGTTATGTGCGCCTAAAGTAATAGATGGTGGTTGACAACAGGCTGGTGGCTTTGTCACTGGCGGGGGTGGGGGGAGCAGCTAGAGGCTCCAATCAGTGTATTCTTAAATGTGGTCAGTTCATGAATAGCGGGAGAGATGAATCGGTGAGGAAGGCCACTTGACGCCTGATGAACTGAGTTCAAGCCCCAGGACTCACATGGTGGGAAAAAGAGATCTGATTCTGAAAGTTGCCCTCTGGCTTTCGCGTAAACACTTTGGGTCATCTCATCCTACTACGCAGCATTCAGATAGGCAGATATACATACACATATGTATATAAATGAATATAACTTTTACAAGTCACTGAAGTGGAGAGAGAGAGAGAGAAATTCTCTAGCTTTTGAGATCAGGGGTTAGAGGGAGGTGCCAGGAGGGACATTACACGCAAGCCAGAGTGTCTTGCAAGGCTAAACCTCTCAATTAATTGTTGGGTAATTATTTCTCTACCTGTAGTGCTGTGCCTTCATGAAGAGAAATGGGCCACTGGATGTTTGCTTATAGTCCCCCAGCATCACTGGACTTTGGGGTACAGCACTTCGTATAGGCACTCATACAGGAGCAAATGAAGGTGCATGTCACAGCCAGCCAACCAACCCTGGCATCCATGCAGGACAGAGAATGGGGGCCATGGTGTTTTTGAGGGATAATCTGGTGGTAGCTATTAAAAGTTTAAAAATGCTCATTTTTTTAAACTAGCTATCTGCATTTTGGGGGGACCCAAAGCCCACGTACAGCAGGGTATGTGCTACGAGTCTGTGGACTGCAGCATTGCAGTGGCGAACCCCAGCAAAGGCTGCCTGGCAAGACTGTGACTGGAAAGTGGCTGGCTGGCAGCTGCTCAGCACAAAGCCTACTGCTGTGCTTCAAACCACAGCTCAGATCCATAGCTTTTGAACAGGAAAGATCTGAATACCACCTTTTTTTTTTTGTTCCTTCCTGATAAAAGAAAATGCAGGCTTCTGTGTGCACAGGTATATGAACAAGGAGGAATTGTTAGTTTCATCAAAGGAGATTGATTTTAAAGATGCTCACATCTCCTTGGTACTCACTTATGAAATAAGCAGACGTTGTTATGTTTTAAAGTAAATGTATATTTTTTAATTTCATATAATAAGCAGACCTTGTTAAAATACATTTCTATTTAATCATTTCACTTATATAATAAAATTCAAACATACATTGAAATTATATTAAGACATATTTAATGTTTAAAATTACACACAGAAGGTATTTTAAGCTGCACACTAAATTTTCAATACAGAAATAGGTACTTTTTGTATACTTAATAAGTTATATGTGCATGCTGTGTGTAGGATGTATTGACATATTTAGGCACACAGAACAGATCATATATTCGTTGTTACATTCTAGACATTGTGTTCTACACACATAATTGCCATCAAAATACATGTGCTGAAATATTTGAGACAGTCATAGCTGTAAGAGTTGCAAACAGGAAAAGAACACCAAGTTCCATTGAGATCTCTATCAGGTCCACAAGTTTTTCAATAGTTATTCTATGGAGATTTATGCAACAAAGAGAGTGGGCATATAACACGTGCATGCATATCATACACACACACACACACACACACACACACACACACACACACACACACACACAATGCTGAGTAAAAAGGCTGGCACCAAAGAGTAAGTGTTCAAAACAGGTAGAATGAGCCTATCCTGTTAGCAAGGACAGTGGTAGCTTGAGAAGGGGCTAAGAGGGGATTTGGGGAGAGTGCTGCTCTATTTTTGGTCTAGTTGCTCAATACTTGGGCTATTCAGTTTGTGAAAATTCTAACCATCCATCTTTATCCATTTTTAAGTTTAAAGGACTTATTTTATATATACGTGTGTGTGCCTGAGTGTTTGTATGCACTCCCCATGTACGTAGGTGCCTGTGGAGGTCAGAAGAGGGTGCCAGATGCCCTAAATATAGAGTTCTAGGCAGCTGTGAGTCACCTGGTGTGGGTGCTGGGAACCAAACCAGGGTCATCTACAAAAGCAGCAAGTACTCTTAACCGTTGAGTCATTTCTCCAGCCTCATGTGTAGGTTTAAAAATGACAATCAGCAATGTTATGAAGTACACATTGTATAAGGAGTGTACAGAGCTATTTGGTTTCAAATGGTCCATTGTGTGCTCTTCTCTGGAAAACACTCTCTGTCCCACCCTCAGCATTCCTTAGTTAGCTGGAGTTCTTTGTGTAGGGCTGAGGACCAGGGGGCTTTCCCCATCCACTCTGCCATGTCTAAATGGTCAGCCCTGAAAGCATACATATGAGTAGCATTATACAGACTCAGAAGATTATATGTAGGAATACACACACACACACACACACACACACACACACACACACACACACACACACATATGCCTTTAATAGTGATTAATGTAAAAAGAGGCTATGAATTTGAAACAGAGAAAGCACGGGCATATGGGAAGACTTAGAGGGAGGCAAGGGAAAAGAGAAAGGATGTGATTATAATCTCAAAAAAAAAAAAAGAAAGAAAATTGACTTTTAAAAGAGCATTGACAAGCACCCATCTTTCCCAGCAGAGGCTAGTCCATAATCCCTTGCCTCCTCAGTTCATCCTGGCCTTCCCAGGATCTCACTATTCCTTACTTCTTGTGTTCCAGACATCACAGGCCCACCTGACACTTGGGATAAGATGGAGAAGGAAATCCTGGACCACCTTCCCCAGGAGACACAGGATGACTATGGCCAGGACTATGTCCATACACAGAAGAACTTGCTCCAAATCATGAAAGACAGGTCCTGCTCAGACATCACCCCTGTGCTGCGGGACATCCAGCATGCCATTTCTGCCAGGAACCCCTCTTCCTTTTATGCCCCAGGGAGACTGACTTACCTGTGGATCTGCTTCTCCTCCTATTCCCCGACCAGCTTATTGGACTATATTTCGCAAAAATGTTTTGTTCCAAAACAGATACCAAGAGCTCTAAAAACATCGAGTTAGAAGATCAAGGCCCCAGTGGGGTAGGAAATGTCATGTTCTTAGAATGAAAGGGAACCCTCTTATTAAACTCATTTTCTACCTCAAATTCTCATTTTGAAATGTGTTGGTTCCTTTTGACATAGTGGCAAGAGGGCTGGAGAGTAGCAGGGGGCACCATAGAGAGTGCTACTGAGACCTCATACCACCCAGAGGCTGGACATTCAGTTCTAGACCACCTCAGGGCCATGACTATACCCATAAACCAAGACCAGCACATATAAGAAGTGTGTTTACACCATACTGAACTCTATTAAGTGTACACTAGTGTTATGTCTCAACAAATCAATGGGATCTACCCAAATAGATCATAACTTCTTCCTCAAAGATGCTAACAACTACCCGAGTCTTCAGCAAATATAGCCTTTCTGGTACTGGCTAGTTTTGCCATAACGCTGATGGCTGCTTGTCAGGGTGGTGGCTACTTAAGGTTGGGGTTGCTGTGGCAGTTTTTTTATTTATTTATTTTTACTTTGAGATGGGTCTCATGTATCCCACACTGACTTCAAAAGTCACTATGTAGCCAAGAAGCCAAGGATGGCCTCAAACTTCTGATCTTCCTGCCTCTACCTTCTTCATGCAGTCACCATGCCCTGCTTGAAAGTGTGTGTGTGTGTGTGTGTGTGTGTGTGTGTGTGTGTGTGTGTGTGAGAGAGAGAGAGAGAGACAGAGACAGAGACAGAAAGAGAGAGAGACAGAGAGAGAGACACACACAGAGAGACACAGAGACAGAGACAGAGACAGAGACAGAGAGAGAGAGAAGACACAGAGACAGTGTGTGCATGTGTGTGTACAGGTGCATAGGGACCAGAAGAAGATACCCAGTGTCTTGCTGTATCACTCTCTGCCTTATTCCCTTGAGGCAAGGTCTCTCACTGAACCTGGAGCTTGGGGTCACAGCCAGTTTTTTATGTGGATGTTAGGACCTGAACTCGTGTCCTCATACTGTGCACTTGTCACTGAGGTATCTCTTCAGCTCCTGCCATCGAAAGGAACAGAGGAGTTTGTGCCGCGGCTCGCTTCTGCTTTCCACGGCAGAGCTCTCTGCCACACGTGTTGCTCATTGAAGGCATTTTACTCATTGGAGAACTACTTTCCAAATTGAAGTCTATCCTGCCCATCTCTGTCAGTTATCTTCTATTCTTCGTCATTTCACAGCGCTCACAGCATCCTTGTCAGGAGGACATGCTGTCTAAGAAGCTGTTTCCTTTGCTTACCCGTAGAAAGCAAACTCTTAGCAGGTGTCAGTGTTCACCAAGGGCAGCCACCCCGTGGAGTCCTCAGGCTCCTGCCCTAATCAAGCCTTCTTGCATTCCACCATGTCTTCAGTAACTTCCACCAGGGAGTCGCAACTACCTGAATCATCAACAAGACTTGGAATCAACTTCTCATAGTTCCTCTTAATGTTACCTTGACCTCTTCCCTTGAATCGCAAATGTTCTTGGGATCTAGAATGGTGACCCCTTTCCAGAAAGCTCCAGAGAACCACCATTGATAGCAGTTGTAGCCTCATGAAGTTATTCGTATTTTGAGACAGAATCTTGTTACGTCACCCAGACTAGTTTCCACCTCCAAGGCTCAAGTGATCATCTTGCCTCAGACTCTTGAGTAGCTGGGGCTATGGGCAGCAACCACTGTGAAGGAGGCAGAGGCAGGAAGATGAGCAGTTTGAGGCCATCCTTGGCTTCTTGGCTACATAGTGACTTTTGAAGTCAGTGTGGGATACATGAGACCCATCTCAAAGTAAAAATAAATAAACTGCCACAGCAACCCCAACCTTAAGTAGCCACCACTCTGATAAGCAGCCATCAGGGTTATGACAAAATTAGCCAGTACCAGATAGATTATATTTGCTAAGGACTCGGGTAGTTGTTAGCATCTTTGAGGAAAAAGTTATGATCTACACCTAAAATGCATTAATTGAACGATGACTCCCACATCAAAAATACTCCTTGATTCAGGCACTGCAGGATGAATAGTGTATTGGCATTAAAACAACTTAATCTCTTTGCATAACTGTATGGGGCTCTCCGGTGACCAGGCACAAGCCAGCGAGCAGTAACATTTTAAAAGAAATCTTTTATTTCCCCTAAAACAAGTCAAAAAATTGATGATTCCCACAATAGACCCCCAAATTTCAGCCAGTCACTCAAGGTCTGGATTTTGGGATCAGAGCGACTAGGGTAACAGTATAAATTGTGTTTTGTCTCACATGTCCTGGATCATCAGCTTTTTTTATCATATTTCAAAGAGTAGAGGTGACTGAATGGAGAATTGGAGCTACCATCTCTGGAAGACCAGCAAGCAGCTCATGGCTTTTGTCCGAAGTGACCTGTTCTCTCCAAGGTCCACCTGTGTGGTGGGGTGCTTCAGTTCCAGGGAATGTCCCTGGGAGATTTACAGAGAGATTTTTCTTTAGCTGCAGTCTTTGTTCTTCCTCTTCTTTTAGTAACAGAGTGTGCCATTGCTGGGTGTGATTAACCCCCTCTTTGGCCCTGCCCTGTGCTCTCTTGCCTGTGCTCTCCTCCCTGTGATCTCCTCCCTGGTGACCTGAGGCAGAGACTTCCATACAGAGAAGGCTCTAAGTTGAAACGTGCTACATTTTGGCCTGTGTATGGTTTTTGTTTGTTTGTTGTAGTTTTTGTTGTTGTTGTTTTTGTTTTTTGCTAATATTTAAGTGCTTGGCCAAAAAATTTCATTGATGGACTTACGATGCACACTTTGAATCTTGAATCTTGAATACATATAGTGAAAAAAAAATGGACCAGGCCAAAAAAAAAGGCCTGGCCAATAAATGCTACTACATTGTTATGTTGGACGGACACACACACACACACACACACACACACACACACACACACACACACAGAGCAGAGGTATAGGGATGCCTAGCATCAATTAACCTCCCTATTTGGAGGTTACGATCTAGGTGTGAGATCTTAGTGGAAAACAATGCCATTTCTCCAACTATAAAAGCCACAAGGTGCCAGGCTGTGGTGGTGCACGCCTTTAATCCCAGGACTCAGGAGGCAGAGGCAGGCAGATCTCTGTGAGTTCAAGGCCAGCCTGGTCTACAAGATCAAGTTCTAGGACAGGCTCCAAAGCTACACAGAGAAACCCTGTCTCAAAAAACAAACAAACAGCCACAAGGTCTAAATTCTGAATTCTGCCTGTCTCGACTCACCAGCCTATATGACTCAGACATAGCAACAGTCCTACGGCCTTGCAGAGCTAGGAATGCCTACGAGTGACATGAAGAGTGAGAGTGACAGTTTCCCGCAGTGACACTAGAGCTCCCTGCTTGGTCCTGGGAGACATGGAGTCCTGTCCATTCAGCTTTTCAAGTCGGTCTTCCAGGATTGGTGACAGAATGTCAGAAAGGACGACAGGATGATGGAGTCAGAAAGACTCCCAAAGAAAAGATGGCGGGAAACCAGAACTACGTCTTAGTCATTTGCAAGAACAGCAACAAGCAGTGATTGGCTACTTAGCACAGCACATGGTATCACCATGACCAACACTGCCACTATCATCATTATTATTGCTACCACAAAACCACCACCATTACAATTATCATCACTATCACCACCACCATTCGCATTACCATCACCATCATTACTATTGTTAACATCATCACACAACATTTTCTTTATATGTGTGTGTGTTGAAAATAGATTCTTCTCTTATACAATACATCCTGACCACAATTTCCCCTCCCTCCACTCCTCCCAGCTCCCCCTCCTCCCTTTCATGGAGCTATGCCCCCTCTGTCTCCCATCAGAAAAGAGCAGGCCTTCAAGAGACAACAACCAAACACAACAGAACAAAATACAATAAAGCAAGGCGAGAGTCCTCACACCAATCACCAATGCTGGACAAGGCAACCAACAGGAGGAAAAGAGTCCCAAGAGCAGGCAAAAGAGTCAGAGACAAATGCACTCCTAAAGTTAGAAGTCTCACAAAACCACCAAGATTGCCACTTCAGTCTCTATGAGCCTATATGCACCCTGCTTAGTTGATTCAATGGGCTGTGTTCTCCTGGTGTCCTCCATCCCCTCTGACTCCCAGAATCCTCTGCCTCCTCTTCCACAGGGTTCCCTGAGCTCCAAGGGGAGGGACTCGACGGAGACCTCTGATTTAGACTCTCTATCTTTCCACATAATGTCTGGCTGTGGGTCTCTACACCAGCTCCATCTGCTGCTAAGGAAGCCTCTCTGATGAAACCAGACAAAGCACTGGTCTATGAGTATAGCAGGATATCATTAGAAACCATTTTATCGATTTTTTTGGACAGTTATGTTTGGTTCTACCCTAGGTCTCTGGGCTATTCAGTCCCCAGTTCCTGGCCATCCATGCCGTGTCTGGTGTCTGGTATGGGCTCCCTCTCGTGGAGTAGGCCTCAAGTTAAACCAGACAGTGGTTGGTCACTCTCACAAGTTCTGCACTACCATTGCCCCAGCACATCTTGTAGGCTGGACAGAGTGTTGATTAAAGTTTTAATGGGTAGGTTGGTATCCACATTTCTCTTTCTGTAGTCTGCAGAGTATCTTACCATACCAAAGAGACTAGAATGTAGGGGTGAAGGCTCTATTGTTGGACCATTTCACATTCAATGAGTTGTGCAAATGTTCTCTTCAGCAATGGGGCCCCACTGTCAGTTTGTGGAGAGTAACCCTCTGTCCTAGCATCAGCTTGGATTTCTGGGGAACTCCATATGATTCTCACCTGGCCAACAACTGAACCAAATTCAACCCAGTCCCACCACTGGAAGCCTTGCCTGGCTACAAGAGATAGCCAGCTGAGACTCTGTATCCCCCATTACTAGGATCACCCACATAGATTCCAGGAAGTTTCTATTGTACCAGGTTTCCCTACCACCTCTCAAATGTCCCCCAATGCTAGCTGTCTCTCCCCAAATTCTCATTCCACCCCATCTTCCAACCATATCCCTCCTGCCCTCATCT